AGTGTAATGAGATCTTGTTACAGTGTAATGAGATATAGTTACAGTGTAATGAGGTATAGTTACAGTGTAATGAGATCTTTTTAAACAGTGTAATGAGATATGTTACAGTGTAATGAGATCTTGTTACAGTGTAATGAGATATAGTTACAGTGTAATGAGATATAGTTACAGTGTAATGAGGTCTCGTTACAGTGTAATGGGATCTCGTTACAGTGTAATGGGATCTCGTTACAGTGTAATGGGATCTCGTTACACTGCACCAACAATAGCTAACAAATATATAATAATTTCAATCGTAGGGAGACGCACTCGCTTTAATAAATTACAAAACTGACGATCTTATTAAGAAGACAGAAGCGTCAAAACTTACGATTTTTTTGTGATATAAATATTAGTGACCTTACAGTACGCAATAGATTGTTCAGTTAACTGCTCCATATTCTATATGTAGCGCCCTATCAGTCCACAGACTGTTTTGTACATGTATGGCTCCGTTTTGTACATGTATGGCTCCGTTTTGTACATGTATGGCTCCGTTTTGTACATGTATGGCTCCGTTTTGTACAAAGTATGGCTCCGTTTTGTACATGTATGGCTCCGTTTTTTTACATGTATGGCTCCGTTTTGTACATGTATGGCTCCGTTTTGACATGTATGGCTCCGTTTTGTACATGTATGGCTCCGTTTTGTACATGTATGGCTCCGTTTTGTACATGTATGGCTCCGTTTTGTACATGTATGGCTCCGTTTTGTACATGTATGGCTCCGTTTTGTACATGTATGGCTCCGTTTTGTACATGTATGGCTCTGTTTTGTACATGTATGACTCCATTTTGTACATGTATGGCTCCGTTTTGCAGATGTATGGCTCCGTTTTGTACGTGTATGGCTGTTTTGTCCCAGTATGTGATACGGTAAAATTTCTTGATCTTAACTAGAAATTTTGCATGGCATGCTGTCTCGCTGAGAACAATGGCCTGGTATAAACCTTGGTAATTGCTACCGACACATTGGTTGAAAAAGGCCCTAGAACAAACTCTAGGACATACTCATTTGAAAACTTTAGAAGTAATCAAGGTTCCAAGACCGAAATGTTTTCTAGTAAAAATGTCCTAGTGTTTGCTTGTGTCTTTTTTTTTAAACCAACAACAGCCTCGTTTGCATGACGCTTCTGAAAACTTAGGCGCATTCCACTCGGGGAGCTGATAGGCGAGTTCGTCTCAGATTTCACACAGCTCTAATTCTGTTCAAGCAAGACTATTGGTCTTCAAACTATACACCATCAAGGATTACAATTATTTCTTGAGATCTGTCATTGTCTTCATGGTCGAGAACTCGTATGAAGAATCAAACGACCCGTCTTTACAGAATCGCCGCGGCACCCTTTGCCTCAGTTATTTCGCTTGCTCCCAGGACCTTCATCATCTTCATTCGTATAAAATAATCTCGGGTGTCAGCGTGATAAATTCACTTAAACCACCGGTCCCATTTGTTACGGTTTTTAAATCCCCTCGCACGAGCCCTAGCGTCTTTTAATTTGCCTCCTCTTTACGTTCACCTTACATCGTCCTCTCCCTTATATCCCCCTTCCTTCTCCCTGGGATGTTCCAGGGATTCACGTTTTCTCGCCCTACCCTCCATGTCCGAAGACTAACTTTTCTGATGTAAACTCGTGCACACTTTTTACTCTACACTATCAGTCACATTCACGTGTTATGTTGGTATACTTCAACGGTTCCAAATCCTGGTATGACGTCGGGTATGCGGCTATGTTTCTAAATAAAATTATTAGAGAATATTTACTTGGCCTAGCTGGTATTCTCACAGCAGAGTTATATGCCATTATCAGTGTCATCGTACACATTGCAGCCATGTTTACTAACTTATTTGTTGTCGTTCCAGACTTTGAGAGTTCATACTCTTCATAAATATAACTCTTATGGGGGAATTTATAGTAAACAGTAAACAGTCGTGTTTTGCTGGGTCTCGAAATACACAGGTGTCCTCGGAATCAGATTCGTAGCCTCGGCCCCTCTGGTCGCCATTTACTACCTGCCAACCTATTTTCCAGTACTGTTTCGGAGATTTCATACCCGCCGGCAAAAGCTCTGGTCCGAGTTAGACGACAACAAATTATCATTTTCCATCAAACTACAAGCAACTCCTCGGCCCTCTTCGTTCCATCGCTGTCAGACTTGGGAAACATCACTCGTGTGTTTGAAAGTTGACCACACACACACACACACACACACACATGCGACTTGCAACTGGATATAGCACATGCGAAAAAAAACCGGCACCTCGTTGCGATACCTTTAACAGTCCACCAAGTATTAATAAACTGTCCGAAATATCAGAAATTAACTCAGTGCCTCAGTTATGATTAATTTTCCTCGTTCACTAACCCTCAACTTCCCCAAACTCTTCATTTCCAACCCAAATCATTTCTTCACTGCATGACACCACACGGGTTAATACTTATAGTGTTAAGTATAATTAGAAGAGCACTGTGAATGTCAGGATGTAATGATGTACATATGGATGTCAGGGGAATAGGGAATGTGCTGTAAATATATTGGAATACCTCGACTTAATAACTCGTTATGAAGCCACACATACACACACACACACACACACACACACACACACACACACACACACACACACATACACACACACACACACACACACACACACACACACACACACACACACACACACACACGGTGAGAACATACTGTCTAACAACAGAGGGAAATATTATAATCATTAGGGACATAGTAGACAACCACGCCCAACATACACAAGGTAGACACTCAACCACGCTCACCACACATAAGGTGGACACTCAACCACGCTCACCATACACAAGGTAGACACTCAACCACCCTCACCACACACAAGGTAGACACTCAACCACGCCCACCACACACAAGGTAGACACTCAACCACGCCCACCACACACAAGGTAGACACTCAACCACGTTCACCACACATAAGGTGGACACTCAACCACGCCCACCACGCACGAGGTAGACACTCAGCCACGCCCACCACACACAAGGTAGACACTCAACCACGCCCACCACACACAAGGTAGACACTCAACCACGTTCACCACACATAAGATAGACACTCAACCACGCCCACCACACACAAGGTAGACACTCAACCACGCCCACCACACACAAGATAGACACTCAACCACGCCCACCACACACAAGGTAGACACTCAACCACGCCCACCACACACAAGATAGACACTCAACCACGCCCACCACACACAAGGTAGACACTCAACCACGTTCACCACACACAAGTTAGACACTCAACCACGTTCACCACACATAAGATAGACACTCAACCACGCCCACCACACACAAGGTAGACACCCAACCACGCTCATCACACACAAGGTAGACACTCAACCACGTTCACCACACACAAGGTAGGCACTCAACCACGTTCACCACACATAAGATAGACACTCAGCCACGCCCACCACACACGAGGTAGACACTCAACCACGCCCACCACACACAAAGTAGACACTCAACCACGTTCACCACACACAAGGTAGACACTCAACCACGCCCACCACACACAAAGTAGACACTCAACCACGCCCACCACACACAAAGTAGACACTCAACCACGCCCACCACACACAAAGTAGACACTCAACCACGCCCACCACACACAAGGTAGACACTCAACCACGCCCACCACACACAAAGTAGACACTCAACCACGTTCACCACACACAAGGTAGACACTCAACCACGCTCACCACACACAAGGTAGACACTCAACCACGTTCACCACACACAAGGTAGACACTCAACCACAACATCGACAATAACGAGGTCGATACTAACAAGGTCGACATTATCAAGGTAGACGCCCACAGTGTAGACACCCACAAGGGAGATGGCCACAAGGTAGAGGGTCACAAGGTAGATGGCCACAAGGTAGAGGGTCACAAGGTAAATGCCCACAAGGTAGAAGGTCACAAGGTAGAGGGCCACAAAGTAGAGGGCCACAAGGTACAGGGCCACAAAGTAGAGGGCCACAAGGTAGAGTGTCACAAGGCAGAGGGTCACAAGGGAGATGGCCACAAGGTAGAGGGCCAAGAGTTAGAGGGCCACAAGTTAGAGGGCTACAATGAATAGGGCCACAAGGTAGAGGGCCACAATGTAGAGTGCTACAAGGTAGAGGGCTACAGTGTAGGGAGCCAAGAGGTAGATGCCATAAGTAAGATGCCCCCAAGATAGAGGGCCACAAGGTAGAAGGTAGCAAGGTAGAGGGGCCACAGTGTAGAGGGCTACATTGTAGAAGGCCACAAAGTAGACGCCCATAAGGAAGAGGTTGACAAGGTAAAGGGCCACAAGGTAGAGGGCCAGAACGTAGAAAGCCACAAGGTAGAGGGCCACAAGGTAGAGGGTCGCAAGGTAGAAACCCACAAGGTAGAGGGCCACAAAATAGAGGGCCACAAGATAGAAGACCGCAAGGTAGAGGGCCACAAGGTAGAGGGCCACGAGATAGTAGGCCACACGGTAGAGGGCCGAAAGGGAGAGGCCACAAAGTAGAGGATACAAGGCAGAGGGCCACAAGGAAGAGGGCCACAAGATGTAGGGCCACAAGGAAGAGGGCCACAAGGTAATGGGCCACAATGTAGTTGGCCACAGGGTATAGGCCACAAGATAGAGGACCACACGGTAGAGGGCCACAATGTAAAGGGCCACAATGTAGAGGGATACAAGGTAGAGGGTCACAAGAGTGAGAACCACACTGTAGAGGGCCATAATGTAGAGGGCCACACGGTAGAGAGCCACAAGGTAGAGGGCCACAAGATAGAGGGGCCCCACTGTAAAGGGTCACATGGTAGATGGCCACAATGCAGAGGGCTACAATGTAGAGGGCCACAATGTAGAAGGCCACAAAGTAAAGGGCCACAATGTAGATGGCCACAAGATAGATGGCCACAGAGCAACACTCACCTTGGAAGACACTCTGGGGACAATATTTCAGAACGACGATCGCCTCATTGCTCCTCGTGGGATCGCAAACACCTTCTTCACACACAATATCCTCTTCCGCCCTCTGTCTTACTCCTAAGATAGCTTTCCAAATCTGTCTTGAGCTTCTTTTCAGATCTCTTGATGTTTCTTAAGTCTATCGTGATAATTCTCTGGTCTTTTTTGACCTTTCTCAGGTCCTGAGCTTTCTCACGTCTAGTTTGATCCTTCCCAGGGCTATTTTGATCTTTTTCGGGCCTATCTTGGATTTTCTCAGGTTTGTCTTGAGCTTTCTCACGTCTAGCTTGACCTTTCTCAGGTCTTCCGTGTTCTATCTCAGGCACACGGGATTTACCACAGTCCTGGAAGATAGTGAGAGATCTGTTTACGTTTGTTGGGAGCCACGTGGATGAGTGCACGGGAAGAGCGACGTAATAACCCTCCTTTGACAAGGGCCGCGAGGTGACTGAGGGGGCGGGGCCCCCGCAGCCTCTCATGTACCGCTCACTTCTGACTCCGCCCACCATTTGCGCGCGCATACAAACCAGACACGCCCACTGAACATCCCCTTTATATTTATTCAAATCTCCCAGTCATTTCCCCATTCATCACCATACCAATCATTTATTTACTTACACAGTTGACCACTGTCAACTCTCCATGAGTAATTATCCCGTTTATTTCGTGTTTAAGAATTAATTAGCAATTTTTGGCTGCTTTGGACGCTACTGCTTGGCCCCGCCCACCCGCCCATCTGCCATGCATGCAGGATCTTCCTTCAGCATCCTCCAGGAAGTATATTTTCACCCCTGGGATCAACCTCACGTCCCACCGGGGATCTGCAGCGTAATACCCCGGCCAGAGCCGCCCATGTGCCCTGGATAACATGAGGGATTCAACGCCCCGACGCCAGGGACTTGAGGGAATCTCAGAGAAGGATTCAGGGACTACGGCAGCAGGGACGAAGGAGAGGGCAGGGCTAGTAACAGTATGGCTTCAGGGATGCCAGGATTTTATTTTTTAAATCCTGTAAAGCCTGAAGGATCAATCGCTTCTAGATGGGTTAATGGGAGAGGTTTAAAGCCTATCGCCTACAACGAGGGCCATTAAGGCCTCCCATAACCTTCTCGTCACGACTCGAAAAATACTTTAATACTAAAATAAGGATTAAAGAAAGCTTTCAGTGTATATATACGCTGAGAGATATACATCTCACGGAGTATATACCTGCCAACCACTTCTAGAGATACAGAGGGGGGGTGATAAGTATGAAAGAACAGAGAAAAACCTGTGGAAGCTCTCTTGTCTCTCGGGATTATATTTAAGCGTAATTTTGCCATCTAGCCGTGGGAAGGCCAGTGGTATGTATCCTACAGAGCTAGAAGTTCCAGGACTCTGTGGCCAGTGGATGTATCCTTCAGAGCTAGAAGTTCTAAGACTCTGTGGCCAGTGGTATGTATCCTACAGAGCTAGAAGTTCCAGGACTCTGTGGCCAGTGGTATGTATCCTACAGAGCTAGAAGTTCTAAGACTCTGTGGCCAGTGGTATGTATCCTACAGAGCTAGAAGTTAAAGGACTCTGTGGCCAGTGGTATGTATCCTACAGAGCTAGCAGTTCCAAGACTCTGTGGCCAGTGGTATGTATCCTACAGAGCTAGCAGTTCCAAGACTCTGTGGCCAGTGGTATGTATCGCAGAGAGCTAGAGGGTCCAAAAAAGTTGCCACAAGACAAAGGTGTCAAAGACACCAACAGTGCCAATCACTGTTATACCAGCTCTCCAGACCGACTAACTGGAATTCGCTCCTGAATGTATTGTAAATAATTTCTAAGCGCATTAGCACCCATGTTTAATTGTGTGATTGAATTCATGTTTCTGTAAATAACTAATTTTCATTGTTACCAGGTCAGTATTTTGTAAATAAATTCATTAACTCCTGTGGAGAAGGAACTGGAAAGGTTAGTTCTTGTGGTGAAGGAACTGGAAAGGTTAGTTCTTGTGGTGAAGGAACTAGAAAGGTTAGTTCTTGTGGAGAAGGAACTGGAAAGGTTAATTCTTGTGGAGAAGGAACTAGAAAGGTTAGTTCATGTGGAGAAGGAACTGGAAAGGTTAGTTCTTGTGGTGAAGGAACTGGAAAGGTTAGTTCTTGTGGTGAAGGAACTAGAAAGGTTAGTTCTTGTGGAGAAGGAACTAGAAAGGTTAATTCTTGTGGAGAAGGAACTAGAAAGGTTAGTTCATGTGGAGAAGGAACTGGAAAGGTTAGTTCTTGTGGAGAAGGAACTAGAAAGGTTAGTTCTTGTGGAGAAGGAACTAGAAAGGTTAGTTCTTGTGGAGAAGGAACTAGAAAGGTTAGTTCTTGTGGAGAAGGAACTGGAAAGGTTAGTTCTTGTGGTGAAGGAACTGGAAAGGTTAGTTCTTGTGGAGAAGGAACTGGAAAGGTTAGTTCTTGTGGAGAGGGAACTGGAAAGGTTAGTTCTTGTGGAGAAGGAACTGGAAAAGTTAGTTCTTATGGAGGAGGAACTGGAAAGGTTAGTTCTTGTGAAGAAGGAACTGGAAAGGTTAGTTCTTGTGGAGAGGGAACTGGAAAAGTTAGTTCTTGTGGAGAAGGAACTGGAAAGGTTAGTTCTTGTGGAGAAGGAACTGGAAAGGTTAGTTCTTGTGGTGAAGGAACTGGAAAGGTAGTTCTTGTGGAGAAGGAACTGGAAAGGTTAGTTCTTGTGGTGAAGGAACTGGAAAGGTTAGTTCTTGTGGAGAAGGAACTGGAAAGGTTAGTTCTTGTGGTGAAGGAACTGGAAAGGTTAGTTCTTGTGGAGAAGGAACTGGAAAGGTTAGTTCTTGTGGAGAAGGAACTAGAAAGGTTAGTTCTTGTGGAGAAGGAACTAGAAAGGTTAGTTCTTGTGGAGAAGGAACTAGAAAGGTTAGTTCTTGTGGAGAAGGAACTAGAAAGGTTAGTTCTTGTGGAGAAGGAACTGGAAAGGTTAGTTCTTGTGGAAGGAACTGGAAAGGTTAGTTCTTGTGGAGAAGGAACTAGAAAGGTTAGTTCTTGTGGAGAAGGAACTGGAAAGGTTAGTTCTTGTGGAGAAGGAACTGGAAAGGTTAGTTCTTGTGGAGAAGGAACTAGAAAGGTTAGTTCTTGTGGAGAAGGAACTAGAAAGGTTAGTTCTTGTGGAGAAGGAACTGGAAAGGTTAGTTCTTGTGGAGAAGGAACTAGAAAGGTTAGTTCTTGTGGAGAAGGAACTAGAAAGGTTAGTTCTTGTGGAGAAGGAACTGGAAAGGTTAGTTCTTGTGGGGAAGGAGATTCACCATTTCTAAGGACTCAACATTTACATCAGCTACACTGTACCCTTATCGCTAAACGTGATAAGTACGAGAACAAACGAATTCTAGAACTTCATCATTATATCGACAGTCACTATTCCATGAACACCATCAAATCGTGGGAAGAATGCTTATATGCAGTCTCCTGTGGAAAGCTGGTCTTAGAGACTGATTGGTCGGTTAATGGGGTTTAAAACCTGTCGACTACGCTAGGATCATTAAGGCTGCACCTAACATTGTCACCACCAGAGAAGAATACTGTAATCCCTACAAGAAGTAAACTCCCAGTATATATACGCTGAGAGAAATATATTTGTGTAAATATATCCCGAGTGTTAGCTTCTATTCTAGTTACATCTGCCTCTTTGATCTACACTGTGTACAAGTCTGCTTATGTTTATTTAAGTGTGTTAAATATCGCTCAAGATTTCATATTCTTTTCCTTACCTAATTTCGATTACATTATTTTTGTAATTATTTTTTCCAAGAAAATAATTTTTCATGATCTTTTCCCTGATACTTGGCAACCAGCCTTGGTGTTGGTGATTAAGACACAGGTGCAGCAGTTAGGTATCTTTATTGTGGAGACGTTTCACCTACACAGTAGGCTTCTTCAGTCAAATACAAAGGCAGTAGGTACTGAACCCGAGAAGCACCACAACATGTTAGGATCTCGATGCAGGGAATTCTTCAGAACTTGTCTAACCTATAGACATGATCTACTTCCACTAGTGGTTTTATCCAGGTAACTCCGTCTGCCACAGCCCCACTTCACCTGTCATCAGTATATAAACCTTATATCCACGAACCTGCTGCACTTTATGATCTTGGCAATAGTTGTGCAAGCATCTATGCCACAACCTGTGTGCTTCCAAGTGTGGGAAATTTGATTTACCTCTAATGGGAAGTTAGTCTCATCTGTGTGTGTGTGTGTGTGTGTGTGTGTGTGTGTGTGTGTGTGTGTGGACGTGTTATCCCACTAGTGTGGCCTCGCTGTTACTAGTAATAAGTTAGTACTGATATTCGCCTTCTATGACGAGAGGTATATTTCTCTTGGTGTATATATGTTGTGAGTTTATTCTAATCCCATTTTAGGGATTAAAATTTTCTTATCTGGTGGTGAAAAGGTGCTGCCTTAATGACCCTCGTGTAGTCGATAGGGTTTAACCCCATTAGCCAAGCAGCTTGACCAGGTACAGCTGACCAGATACAGCTGACCAGACCAGAGCTAACCAGACCTCAGCTGACTAGACCACAGCTGACCAGACACAGCTGACCAGATACAGCTGACCAGACACAGCTGACCAGATACAGCTGACCAGACTACATCTGACCAGATACAGCTGACCAGATACAGCTGACCAGATACAGCTGACCAGATACAGCTGATCAGATACAGCTGACCAGACCACAGCCGTCCAGACACAGTTGACCAGACCACAGCTGATCAGACACAGCTGACCAGACCACAGCTGATCAGACCATAGCTGATCAGACCACAACTGACCAGACTACAGTTGACCAGACATAGCTGACCAGACCACAGCTGATCAGACCACAACTTACCAGACTACAGTTGACCAGACACAGCTGACGAGACCACAGCTGATCAGACCACAACTGACCAGACTACAGTTGACCAGACACAGCTGACGAGACCACAGCTGATCAGACCACAACTGACCAGACTACAGTTGACCAGACACAGCTGACGAGACCACAGCTGATCAGACCACAACTGACCAGACTACAGTTGACCAGACACAGCTGACCAGACCACAGCTGATCAGACCACAACTGACCAGACTACCGTTGACCAGACACAGCTGACCAGACCACAGTTGATCAGAACACAACTGACCAGACTACAGTTGACCAGACACAGCTGACCAGACCACAGCTGATCAGACCACAACTGACCAGACTACAGTTGACCAGACACAGCTGACCAGACCACAGCTGATCAGACCACAACTGACCAGACTACAGTTGACCAGACCACAACTGAAGCTGACAGATAAACACACAGTGGTCACCAGCTGATTCATAACACAAGTACAAAGGTTTGCAACGAGACTAGTCCCAAATCTAAGGGGCATGTCCTACGAGAAGAGGTTAAGGGAAATTGTTCTGAC